GGGGCTCACTCTCACCACTACTATTCAACTTAGTTTTGCAAGTTTTAGCTGCAGCAATCAGAGAAGAAAAAGGAATAAAAGGAATCCAGATTGGAAAAGAAGAAGTAAACCTCTCACTGTTTCCAGATGACATGATCCTCTATATAGAAAACCCTAAAGATACCACCAGAAAATTACTAGAGCTAATCAATAAATATAGTAAAGTTGCAGGATATAAAATTAACACACAGAAATCCCTTGCATTCCTATACACTAACAATGAGAAAACAGAAAGAGAAATTAAGGAAACAACTCCATTCACCATTGCAAGAAAAAGAATAAAATACTTAGGAATAAATCTACCTAAAGAAACAAAATAACTATATATAGGAAACTATAAAACACTGATGAAAGAAATAAAAAAGACACAAATAGATGGAGAAATATACCATGTCCATGGATCAAAAGAATCAATGTAGTGAAAATAAGTATACTACTGAACACAATCTATAGATTCAATGCAATCCCTATCAAGCTACCAACAGTATTTTTCACAGAATTAAAACAAATAATTTCACAACTTGTATGGAATTACAAAAAACCTTGAATAGCCAAAGCAATCTTGAGAAAGAAGACTGGAACTGGAAGAATAAACTTGACTGACTTCAGACTATACTACAAAGCTACAGTCATCAAGACGATATGGTACTGGCACAAAGACAAAAATACAGATCAATGGAACAAAACAGAAAGCCCAGAGATAAATCCACATAACTATGGTCACCTTATCTTTGACAAAGGAGGCAAGAATATACAATGGAGAAAAGACAATCTCTTTAACAAGTGGTGCTGGGAAAACTGGTCAACCACTTGTAAAAGAATGAAACTAGAACACTTTCTAACACCATACACAAAAATAAACTCAAAATGGATTAAAGTTCTACATGTAAGTCCAGAAACTATAAAACTTCTAGAGGAAAATATAGGCAAAACACTCTCTGACATAAATCACAGCAGGATCCTCTATGACCCACCTCCCAGAGTAATGGAAATAAAAGCAAAAATAAATAAATGGGACCTAATTAAACTTAAAGTTTTTGCTCTACGAAGGAAACTATGATCAAGGTGAAAATACAGCCTTCAGAATGGGAGAAAACAATAGCAAATGAAGCAACTTACAAAGAATTAAATCTCAAAAATATACAAGCAGCTCACATAGCTCAATACCAGAAAAATAAATGACCCAATCAAAAAATGGGCCAAAGAACTGAACAGACATTTCTCCAAAGAAGACATACAGATGGCTAACAAACATATGAAAAGATGCTCAACATCACTCATTATTGGAGAAATGCAAATCAAAACCACAATGAGGTACCATCTCATGCTGGTCAGAATGGCTGCTATCAAAACATCTACAAACAATAACTGCTGGAGAGGGTGTGGAGAAAAGGGAACCTTTTTACACTGTTCGTGGGAATGCAAATTGGTACAGCCACTATGGAGAACAGAGTGGAGATTCCTTTTAAAAAAAAACTGGAAATAGAACTGCCATATAACCCAGCAGTCCCACTGCTGGGCATACACACTGAGGAAACCAGAATTGAAAGAGACATGTGTACCCCAGTGTTCATCATAGCACTGTTTACAATAGCCAGGACATGGAAGAAACCTAGATGTCCATCTGCAGATGAGTGAATCAGGAAGCTGTGGTACATATACATAATGGAATATTACTCAACTATTAAAAAGAAGGCATTTGAGTCAGTTCTAATGAGGTGGATGAAACTGGAGCATATTATACAGAGCGAAGTAAGTCAGAAAGAAAAACGCCAATACAGTATATTAATGCATATATATGGAATTTAGAAAGATTATCACAATGACCCAATAAGAGAGACAGCAAAAGAGACACACAGATAAAGAACAGACTTTTGGACTCTGTGGGAGAAGGCGAGGGTGGGATGATTTGAGAGAATAGTATTTAAACATGTATATTACCATATATGAACTAGATCGCCAGTGCAGGTTCAATGCATGAGACAGGGTGCTCAGGGCTGGTGCACTCGGATGATCCTGAGGGATGGGATGGGGAAGGAGGGGGGAGGGGCGTTCAGGATGGGGGACACATGTATACCCATAGCTGATTCATGTATGGCAAAAACCACTGCAATATTGTAATTAGCCTCCAGTTAAAATAAATTAAGTTTTTTAAAAATGAAAAACGTCTTGCCCTAACAGAAAGGTTTCCATTAAATTAAAGACAATTACACCCCACATGCAGGTTGTTTTTAATATTGTTCTAGATGCTGGTGCCTGCTATGGTTGTGTTCAAAGACCTAATCCCACTTTGTTTGAAAGAGGGATTACCAACTTCCAGAGAAGTGTTAAAAGCACTTTAGATCCAACTTTCTCCTTGACAGATTCAGAAGGAAGGGCCCAAAGAAAGCTTTAAAGAGATGCACTTCCTCTCCAACTGATTTAATAGGGTGGTGTTTCTGGGTCTCTATAAAGACCTCTTGTGCCAGGAGGCATAGGCACCTTACACTTTGAAAGACCTTTGTAAGGACAAGTGAGTAGGGGGCATGAGTTTCTCAAGCAGGGGCAGGGCAGGGCAAGTTAAGAGACAAGAGCAGAGTAAGAAAACCCTCACTAGGGAAGAGCCTACCATGTAGGCCCTAAGTGGTCCAGGGCTGTTTGGAAAGGGAATCCTGGCTCTCAGTGCCTGAGCAGGGGTACTTTGAGTCCAAGGACTCCTTGCCCTGAGAGGGGTCCAGCTGTGAGAGAGTCTCCTTAAATACAGGGCCTAGGATTGTGACCTGGTTGCTTAATTTGTTGTTGTTGTCGTTGTTCAGTTGCTAAGTTGTGTGTGACTCTTTGGGATCCCATGGACTGAAGCACACCAGGCTTCCCTGTCCTTCACTATCTCCTGGAGTTTGCTCAGATTCATATTCATTGAGTCGGTGATGCTATCTAACCATTTCATCCTTTGCTGCCTTCTTCTCCTTTTGGCTTCAATCTTTCCCAGCATCAAGGTCTTTTCCAGTGAGTCAGTTCTTCCCATCAGGTGGTCAAAGTATTGGAGCTTCAGGTTCAGCATCAGTCCTTTCAATGAATATTCAGGATTGATTTCCTTTAGGACTGACTGGTTTGATCTCCTTGCAGTTAATTACTGTATGCAAGTAAATAAAATGCAGTCTCAAGACAGGGCATGGACGAGACAAACAAACCTGGTGGGGATAGAAGGAAAGGAACTGGAGGAAGAACTTGTTAAGAATGTTGATAAGGCAGCACCAGTGGACATCTGATGTGTTGGCCTGAACTGCATCTATACCCTTTCACTGGAAACAGCAGCTCACCTTTCCTTTCAGAAGTAGCCTCTCTGATTCTCAGTATTTTTGGCTGTGCAAGCCTGACTTCATCCTCTTGCCACCACAGAAGGCAGGAGATCCAAGCTTGACTAGTCAGAAGATACCATCCTTCCTCCCCGTCCTCCGTTGCTCAGTTGTGTATGCCTCTTTCTGAGCCCATGGAGTGTAGACAACCAGGCTCCTCTGTGCATGGGCTTTTCCTGGCAAGAATACTGGAGTGGCTTGCCATTTCCTCCCACAGGATCTTCCCAACTCAGGGGTCAACTGACATTTCCTGTGTCTCCTGCACTGGCAGCCATAGTCTTTACCACTGAGCCACCTGAGAATTTCCCTTCCTCTCCACTTCATCGCAATGATGAGTGTACTGCCCACTAACATATAAACTCCTGAATTCAGCTGCACCTGAAGCTAGAATCCCCCTTTCCCTTTCATCTATGCTTTAGAAAAGTCCATAGCTTAACTGACATGGACTGACACGGGTGTGTGTGTGTGTGTGTGTGTGTGTGGGGGGGGGGGGGGGTGTGTGTGTGTGTGGGTGTGTGTGTGGGGTGTGGGTGTGTGGGTGTGGGTGTGTGTTTGTGTGTGGGTGTGTGTGGGTGTGTGTGTGTGGGTGTGTGTGTGTGTGTGTGTGTGTGTGTGTGGGTGTGTGTGGGTGGGTGTGTGTGTGTGTGTGTGTGTGTGTGTGTGGGTGTGTGTGGGTGTGTGTGTGGGGTGTGTGTGTGTGTGTGTGCGTGCTGGGGGAGGGAGGTGGAGGGAAGAGCGAGCCTCACCATAATGCCTGTCTTGTCCAGTGCCTCTGGAGATTTCATCTAGTCTGTAGATCCGAATAACTCAGATAAGACCCGGGTCCAGTGAGCTCCGTACTCTTAATTGCACAGAAGCATTCCCCACCCCCTCCCGAGATGCCGATTACATGACTTGGAGGTGACCAGCTGAAATGTGAAATCCCACACACATTTAATTTTAAAAATAATTTTAAAGTTTTAGCTATTTTTCTTTTGTATCCTCATCTCAAACTCTTCCACAGGGTCTTGGAAAGCCCCCAGGCTCCAAGCCAGACGCCTGTCCAGCCTGACGTACAAACATGGCCGGGTGTGGGGCAAGGGAGCGCTGGGGCCTGCAGGGCCCTCGTGCCGGCGGGCGGGAGTCGACAGGCGCTCGCACGCATGCGCAAGAAGGTGGGGCTGAGTCCCAGGCCTGCGCTGTGCCACTCCACAGGCACGGGGCGGGGCGGCGGGGAGCGCGCGCCTGAGGCGGCCGCCTGGCGTTGAGGAGTTGGTGCTCCGCAGACCTTCCTTCGGGCGCATCTTCCCCGCCGGGTGCGTCCTCACGAGGAGCCCCCACTCGGCGGGACCGGGCCAGGGGATGGAGTCGGCCCGCCGACACGGCCCTGGAGGGACCCAGAGGAGACGACCGCGCGAGCCCTGACCCGCCGTCCTCGCCGAAGCGCCCATGGGCGCGTCCCTGCGGGCGGGCCGTGGCTCTGGGGGTGGCGAGCGGCGGGGCCGCGGCGCCGAGGAGGGCTGCGCTCGTGCCCGGCCCCGCACAGGCCGCGCGCGTGCGCTCCCGCTGCAGGGCCGGCCGCGCCCGCCCCTCCTCTCGGCGCCGGCCCGGGAGCCCGGTCCGCGAGCGGCGGCGGCCGGAGGGACGATGAGCGGCGCGGCGCGGGCGGGCCCGGCCCGGCTCGCCGCGTTCGCTCTGCTGACCTGCAGCCTGTGGCCGGCGCGGGCGGACAACGCGAGCCAGGAGTACTACACTGCGCTTATCAACGTGACGGTGCAGGAGCCCGGCCGCGGCGCCCCGCTCACATTCCGCATCGACCGCGGGCGCTACGGACTCGACTCTCCCAAGGCCGAGGTCCGCGGCCAGGTTCTGGCGCCGCTGCCTATCCATGGAGGTGAGTGCCTGGCAGGGAAAAAAGAAGCCGTGGAAGGCGGAGGGGGGCAGGGTTTGTCCGCATCCCCCAGGAGCCACAACCTGGGCGCGGAGGCGGCGGACGCGGCGCCCCCTCCCCGGCCCGGATTGATGCGCCGCTCGGCGGGCGGCCCCAGGGTCGAGGTTCCCGTCGTGTCCTCCCCCGCCTGTTCGCTGCTGGGAATGAGCGTCCAGACGTGTTATTGGGTTCTTCTTTTCTTTTTAAAAAGGCTTTTTTTTTTGTCCCCCTCCTTCCCTTGGTTCAGTTAGCTTGTTTACAGGAAGGCACTGAACTGCGAGTTTGCAGGGACAGCTCAGACAAAGGAGGTGGTGGAAGAGCGCAAAACTAGTTCGTGATGGATGAAGTCTCAACCTGTATTTCGGAGTCCGCACAGATTCCTTCCTGCAATCACAGGCTGCGCTGTATTGAATCTGGAAGGATGAGGCCCTTTTCTACCGTAAAAACGTGCCATTTTTCTTAAGTGACAAGTAGAAGGAGGGTGGAGGAGGAAAATGGGCATCTTCCTTGTTGCTTTTGGCTCTTATTATGCCCCACCGGCTTTACTGTAATTTGACGCCTGAACATCTCACGTTACGACAAATCCGATACCAATTGGAACCTGTACCCAAGTCTTCAGGTCATGAGAGTCTGCCAGAGGGGAAATAGGTAAAATTTTTGAGAGTTGTCTTTGAAGCCATTTGGCTTAATCTTACGTCTATCATTTGCTCTTTAATAATTTAGTATAAAACATATATTTGTACAAATTTCTGGTAATGTTTTAAAAGAAACTTTTCCCACACTGTGGAGTATGATTTTGTTTTTGGCCCACAGCAGACTTTTTGAAAAAATGTCTACTATCCATCCCTACCCACTCTCACTCTGAGAATGCTTAGCGGGGACTTTTTTTAAAGCTGCTTTTCATGTTAAAATGACCTAAACTAGGCTACCTACATAAGGTGTTTGTTTTTATACTCTAAACTGTTAAAACATCACGCCGCTTCTGAGATACGTGTTTGAAAGCGAACATGCTAAGCTGTTTTTTTCTTTGAGGCAACCTAGCTAGGGAAGAAGAATCAGGAAGGGCTTTCATTTCTCCAGTTTGCACCTTCCTTTCAAACGTTCATTTTTACATCAGTAATCAGTTGCTTAGTATGCACTTCTCATCTCCACTTTGTTAAAAAAAAAAAAAGGCAGTTAGGGTCCTGCCTTGCCCACAGTAGCAACTTTGGCCTTTGGTTCATTCAGTAAATATTTGCTTGCTTGTTCTGTGCCAGTCACTGTGCTTGGGACACAAAATGTTGCCAAACTGTGGCACTGACAATGGTAGTCTGTTTTCTGGGGTTGAGATCTGTGAGGGTCACGTGGAAAGGGAGGAAGAGGGAGAGGCAAACTGTTGTGGAACAAAGACTGGCCCTATGCAGTGTTTTGAAATCTGTGGTTTGTCTTTGGGTTCCTCTAGGCACCTCGAATCCATGATCCTCGCTTTAGATACTTGCCTCATAAGTGATCTGTGTTCTGAAACTACTTGTTGCTTGCCTATCATTCCAAGCAAAAGCCCCATCTTCAGAAAACTTTTTTTAGGTGTTTGGCTGGAAGGGTATTGGACACTGATGGGTGGTAAAGGTTGGTCTTGTTCCTCTGTCAGTGGGGAGGTTCCAGTTGTGCTATACATAAGCCTTATGACACTGGAGAAGTACTGTGTGAGTTTAGGAAAGTAATTTGGCCTTTTAGCCTCAATTTTGTCTGCAAAAGGGAACGATGAAATAGTTACACCTTAAGTTTATTGAGGGGTTTCTCTGGTGGCTCAGATGGTAAAGAATCTGCCTGCAATGTGGGAGACCTGGGTTCAATTCCTAGGTTGGGAAGATCCCCTGGAGGAGGGCATAGCAACCCATTCCAGTATTCTTGCCTGGAGAATCCCCATGGACAGAGGAGCCTGGCAGTTTGCAAAGGGTTGGACTTGACTGAGCAACTAAGCACAGCACAACACAAGGTTATTGAGAGGCTTAAATGGTGCCTGCATTCTTACAAGAGGAGATTTGTTAACCTAAATGAATATCTGAATTGGTGGAGTTTTAGAAATGGCATCAGTGTGAGTACATTGGAGCAGTCTTGGAAACTTGAGTCTGCAGTCAGTTCCCCTGGGTGTCTGTCTTCTCTTCGTTTCCTTGTTCTCTAGGGGCTCATTTTGTATCTGCATATCATGAGGTTGCTCAAGGTTTTTTTCATGGCATTGGTGGTGGAATCCTGCAGGTAGTTTGGGTCTGGCTTTCTACTAAGGGATCTGCACACATAGGTTCTTTCAATCCAGCAAATACTAATTGAAAACCTGCTGGTCCCAGCCACCCATCCAAGGTACTGGGGAAGAGGGAGGGGCCCCAGAAGTAAGCAAAACAAATTCTTTCTCTTCTTCCTGAAGCTCACAGCCTAGTGGCATTTTAATGTCAGTTTACCTATAAACTGTTTCTAAATCAATTGACTAACATGAAATCTAAGAAGTTTTTGTGCTTTTGCAGCAGGAATTTAGGAATGTATTTTGGTTTTTTTTTTTGTTTGTTTCTTGGCCATGCTATCTTTAGCGTGCAGAATCTTTAGTTCCCCCAAACAGGGATCGAGCCCATACCCCCACAGTGGACATGCAAAGTTCCAACCACTGGACCACCAGGGAAGTCCTCAAGAATGGTGGTAGAAATCTGTTAAAATTTTTCATGTTTAAGGAAATAGGTTATGTCTATTATGTCATTGTACTCTAGTCACTCAGTCGTGTCTGGATATTTGCAACCACATGGACTGTAGCCCACCAGGCTCCTCTGTCAATGAGATTTCCCAGGCAGAAATACTGGATTGGGTTGCCATTTCCACCTCCAGGGGATCTTCCCGAGCCAGGGATGGAACACGGGTCTCCTGCGTTGCAGGCAGATTCTTTACCATCTGAGCCACCAGGGAAGCCCATATATCTATTATACCTCAATTTAAAAAAAGAAAATAGCTTAAAATTTGAATCATATTTGGTTATTTCACATTATGATATTCTCAATTTAGTCTCAAATTTTAGTGCTTTTAGAAAAGATAATATATTCTGACTCTTGCGTGCTCGTAATTTTAAATTGAAGAGAATTTTTAGTGTGTTTATTGAAGATTTACTGTGTTGACACTAAACAAAGTGATGTTCAAATTACAAAAAAAATAGTTATGAGACAGAATTACTGGCCAAAAAAGAACCAGCCATAGTCAATAGATGGGAAGTTAATAAAAATTAATTTTGAGGACAAGTGTTTGGTAAATATAAAGACAAAATTAGTTTTCCTAGAGCTTAACATGATAACTCATTTTAATTCTTTGACTAGGTTGTGAAAGTAAAAACCTCTCTAGTTATTTTGCATTATTTCTGTAAGTTAGGCATGTATGTATTACTGGACAAGATTTATTTGTCCTATATCTTTAAAGAGTAATTTGGCAATTTCTTCCTAAATGCTTTGGTATTTTAGAAGTACATTTTAAAAAGTGTTAAACTTTATAAAATATTTCATAAACAAGTGTTGTACTTTGAAAATACATTCTGTATCATTAGAGTACATTTTAAATGGAGATTTATTGGTGATAACAAATTTCATATTTTAACTGTAAAGACTTTATTTTTTTGAAGTGAACTTTTGCAGGAACATGCCTTATATTTATTCACAGATACTGGTGGTTGTTCATGGTTGCTTTCTTACCACTAACTTACTGAAAGGGTGAGCTTAGATCTAGAAACAAATGTAAAATCTAGCTAGCATTTACTGTGGAACAGACATTGTTAGATGTGCTTTGTGTGTGTGCACACTAACTTTTTGTTTGAGCTTGGAGGTGGGGGTTGGGAGAGAAGGCCCTGTTGTTGATGATGTCATTTTGTATGCAAATATGCTGCTGGGAAGAATTTGGTAATAGTCATTTTCACTGAAATTTTCAGGATTGGATGTTTAAGCCTTGGACAACAGTTTTACCAAGTAATAAATTTTTTTTTGGTCATCTGGTTGACTAAAGGGATGCCATAACATTTTTTAAAAATCTTAGATTATGTTTTATATATGTGATTTTGTTGGACGAATCCATTAAACCTAAACTTGGTTTTCAAAATTCTGATTTTAGAGTGAAGGCAATCGATGTGGAAACAAGATCTTAGATGAAAAGGGCCATGAAATGTTAGATTGTATGATGCCAAAGGCAGGGGCTACTGGATATAGAGATTTCAAAATATTCAGGAAAAAAAGTAGGTGTTATCCTGGAATCAGAGACCCTGAAAGGAAAGAAAGTTCAGAAGGAGCTGGAGGCTCTAAAAACCAAATTTGACCTAAAGTAGATAACCAAGCAATATATGATAAATTGTATTTGTATTAAATTTTAACAATTTAGAAAATATTTTTACATTTTGTATTTTTCCTTTGCTTTTGGATGATTCATTAGCATATAAAATTTGAATATATATTTTTAAACCTCTGCACCAAATATGTATATCCTTCCTCTGTTCCATCTTTCTGTTTCTCTTTATAGCAAAGTGTTGTCTGTACTTTCTGCCTTAGAGTTTTCATCTTGCTATTCTTCACATTGTGAAGGTCTTTGTTGTGCCAGTGATTTGATAAAGATGTGACATATTTAACTTAAATATTGGACGGCAGGATCCTCAGCATCTCAATGTATGGAATGGTGGGCTGAAACTAAGAGAAAAGTTAATAGAAATTATTATGTAGTCTTGAATTTGGGTAAGAAAAAATTAGCTGCAGTGAAAGGAGTTGAGGGGAAATAAGGCTTCAAGCTGCATGTCATAGGACTAAGCCTCTGTGCACTCACTGACCAGCCCTTTCTAATCTTGCATGCATTTGAGCATCATATCCTGGGTAACACAGGTCCCACTTCATTATAGGCCAGGCACACTTTTAGTGCATGTTCATTTCTGAATATGAGTTTTAAGGGATGAACAAACTATAAAACATTGTTTTGAATAT